GTTCTTCAATGCTGCCATTCAAACAACATTGGAGACATAGTCATTGTCCCACGACCTTCCAGGCGTGAATGCCAACTATCTCCTACAACTGCTAAACTTGTAAGTCAGTATTTTGTACGACAAAGAGATAGTCAAACAATATAGTCAGTTAACAGCTGAGGGTTTCCCAAAACACTGGGTGATGCCCTGGGAAGAGGTAAACACCTGACCTGCTAAATTCTGACACTGCACTTCTTCCTTACACAGGTGCTTCCCTAACTTCATACTCCCAAAAATCTTCCAATTATCACAGCAAAAGAAAATTATCACCCTTGCAATTAAACAAAGTCAAACTATGGCTAACACATGCTAGCAACATTCAGCAGGCAGCCCCACTGTCTGAAAAACCATCGCCATTTCTAGTACTTTCTCAGGACAGCAATCCACCAGAAAACAGCTGGCAGTGGAGAGGAGGGAAATGACAAGCTTCCATTCTCAGCAACATAACCAGCTTCACTGCTGTGAGAATGGTTAATCATGGGCTACTGGCCATACAGTAATCCAGGGCAGCTAGTTCACAGACAGAAGTAGTAATTAGTTTCTGTAGCAGTACATGCACCCTCCTCAACTCTCTGCCATGCTGCAAGATCAGTGGGGCAAGCAGCACTGCTAAGTCCAAAAAAAGCAATTCATGCAGAACTTTCTGACCTGCATCTGATTACCACTGAAGCTCAGGATGATATGAATCACCCTCCATTCAGTGCTGTCCAGCCTCACCACCACCACTGAACATGTAAGATAGGCAGATTGTGATAACTACCCCGCACCCCTGTGCTCCTTCCACACCCGCTGTCATTACATCTCTATAAATGCCCAAAGGCTGTTATTTCACCCTGTATCCATCTCACACTATAACACACTCAGGCTGCAGTCACGTGGCTTCTGCAACGGAGTTGTGGTTGCTTCGCACAGGCAGAAGCGACACTCTCAGCTGGCAAAGCTGCCAACAACTAAAGCTAAAATTGCTTCCACTCTAAGCCCTTAAAACAGCCAAGCTGTCCTGTAATGCAGCCCAGGCAAGTCAGTCAACCCTGGAGTACTGCAAGAAGTTCCAAAAAACCTCCTTGTTAATGTATTTTGGCATGGGGAGAAGAGGGAGGGTCTGCATCCTAGACCATGTGGAGAGGAGAAATTGCATGATGCAATTTCACACAGTGAAGTCCAAAATATCTACCACTGGTGAAACATCGGAATGATAATCAAAGAGATTTCAAACAAGTCTAAACAGAGCTCCAGCTACTGCAAGGTGTAATTTAGATATGCATCAGAAGCTTGGAAAGAAGTGACTATTTTGACTGTCCTTTAAAAAACAGGTATGTTTAAGGACAAAGAATTCACTGTTTCCAACTACAGAAACCTGAGCTATCAATATAAACTTTGCACTGATGAGAAGTTTTAAAGTATTTGTCTTATTTTCCCTAGCTACTTATAGTTTTAGTTTTTTCTGATTTAAAGTTAAAAAAATACATACAAGAAGTGTTCTCTGAAGAGTAGCTGAAGTGCCTAGCTGACATTTCGTAGAATTCAAGTTATTTTCCATCTATCTTGAGAAAGTTGCAAACACATTTTCAACTGTTTAGATGAAAGCTTTCATGCTCACTCCCAAAACATTAACAACTTTCTCAAGATCTGTATGACATATTCAGTTTAAAGTTTGCATTTTTTTGGTGTGCTATGATTATTTGCCAGAAAAACTAAAAATATCTGCAGAAATTAAATAGACCTAGAAGTTTATCACTGATTTAAAAAAAAATTGTCTTGATAACATCCCTTCTTACAAGCCTTTCTATACCTTCATATTTAATCTTAAATAATATGCTAATTGTTCTGCAAGATAGTTCACATTCTCTTGTTTCAACATCTTCAGCACAGACCTTACTAATTAGTTCTTTTTACAAAATCATTAGAATGTATTTTCTTGATACAATTAGTAGATTCTTCTTTATCCAATATATCAATTGTTGCTTTAAAAGAAAATTTAAAAAATCCCAAACCAAGAAAGGCCACAGAACAATTTTAGCCTTGTCACTGTCTGCAGCTGAGGAGAACTACAACTAATAAGAAAAGGGATCAAGCCTCAAACCTGCATTACAACATATTTTGGTATTGCAAATGAGGTGGTATCACAAGGTAACAGTAGTTCTCATGAACTACTCTTAACCTTGGTAGCCATGTACTATCACCACATTCACAGTTAGCACAATAGTTACTAATTATTTACTTATAAAATCCTTGAAGTAATAGTATCCAGCAGCCTAATTCACAGATTCAGAAAAATCGAGAATTTTTCCTTCTTTCACTATCTCTACACAGGGGTTACACAGTACTGAGGTGCAAAAACAACCATAAGTCAAATGCAAGTATTTCCCCCTCGCTGATAATATTTGCCTCTGAGCATTACCGACACACCACATCCAAGAATTTTACCAGGCCATTAAAAGCTGTAAGATAAGAAATCCTCAATTCTGGATCCTCCTACTTTTGAGAACGGAGGCTGTACTGAAACATCTCCCTGTGACATAGATAATTAAAAAAAAAAATATATAAGGTAAAGTGGATTAAATATGTGAAAAAAAAAATATATAAGGTAAAGTGGATTAAATCTGTGTATGTACACAGATTTACAGTATGTAAATCTGTCTATAAACATAGACAGACAGAAAGAACACATGTGATACCTCTGATTTCATTATGTTATTTGTAAATGCCAATGCACAACTTTTTTTTTTTTCTTGGACACACAGCAGATTCTATGAATTCTGTTAGAATCCATACGAATGCACCAAGTGATTTTCCTCAGTTGTCTACTCAATGGGGACAAAGAAAGTATTATTCACAGGTAACAAGAGGGATGGTATAAAAGCTGGGCAGCCAGGATGTGGTTCATTAAGGGAAGAACTAAAGAATTCATTAAGGTGCACTGTGAGGCACAGCAGCTTTGCAAGAATTCTCTGATGTGCCAATAATGTCATAAAAAATACCCAAGTAAACTAGTTAAGTAGTTTTCCCTCACATTAACATTGGTTTCAGTGTCATTCAAGCTGTGGTCACTTACAATTTCAGAAACATACTTGATCTTTTCTACAAATCACACAACAAGCCTGGTACGCACACACTCTTCTGGGAGTGCCTCAACATCTTCCAACAAACTCAGAACAGCATTCTAGCAAGAACACTGGAAACCAAAGCATGGTTTGTTTGTTTTAATAACACAACATAGTTATTTACCTTAGCAGTGTGACAGGCAGCCATTCTGCTAAGAAGTTTCCATACCATTACACACCATTTATTTTTCAGGCAATTTTTAAAATACTTCCTTAAGAAGACACTGTATAACTGATGCATCCCACATTTAAACTCATACCATCCAAGTAGTCTACCAAATCATTTCCTCCACCAGCAGCAAGTAGACGGAGTGCATTGTGACACCTCATACATATTTAATAATAGCCTGATAGGCTGTCATTAACATCAAACAGCAATCTAAGTTTGCTACATTAAACATGATCCCTGTGTTAAGAGGACAATCGCAAAGTGCCTCCACGATCAAGTCTGTAAGAAATACCCACTGACTTGGACAAGGTGTAATGAGGCCAACTGCACTGAAGAAGTCATTATTCACACTTGGATTTAAAACAAAAAAATAAAAAAAAAGGGGGAAAAAAAGCAGGGGAAAGAGCTTCAATGGGTCATAAGAGCAGACATGCCATAAGGCAATCTGTCACGGAGCACTCATATTAATAACTGTTGTGTCAAAACTGAACATTCAAAAGAAAAGACAAACCTTTCTTTATGTTTTATGAAATGTAAGCCCACAGAATTAATAATTCATGAGATGAAGAAAATACCAGATTTGGATATAAATATTAACAGAATGCTGTCAACCTGTTTAGAACCAAATTTTAACTGTCCTACCTTACAATTATCAATCTAGAAGGGAATATTCTTCAAAAGCTCAAAAAAAAAAATCAGTCTGAAAGTCATTAATGAAGAAATTAACATTCTCTAGTCATGTAGGTCCCAAGCAAAACAGTAGAAGTCTCTCCTGTGCCTGGCTGCTGCTAAGCAAATACTAATAGACTGGCACTATTTGTTCCCAGAGTTACGCTGTGGTGACAACAATAACCGTGTGCACACAAGAAGGTACACCAAAGGGACATACTAACATCAAGATCCAGTGGAAAAAGGGTAGGAAAAGAGGGGAAGTAGTGGCCAGATGACAAGCAAGGATAAAAAAACTAGTTAAAAGTTAATATAAGTTTCAGAATACAAAGTTTATACAACAGGCCTTGGATAAATTTTTCTGATTAGCTAAAGAACAAGCATTTAAAAACTGCAAAAGCAAGCAATTAACCCATAAGGTACAACCACATCTCAGCAAGTTCACTGCATGTGATTTCAACCAAATACGAAATATATTTTCAGAATATTCGTTAGTCTCAAGGTAAACAAGTATTTAACTAGACCTATAAAATGATGCAGTTATTTTCATTTTAATCTTTGATTGCTAATGTGGTTAGCAGTTGAAGTTCCAAATCTGCAAGAAACAACTTCTGCGTTATGATGCCAGCCCTCCTCTGCTTTCACTACCATTATAGAGAATAGAATACTGGAACACAACTGTGCAAAAGTCAGGAATGTTGTCAAAATGTATTGTTCTAAATGGTGGTGACAGTGCTTTTCTTTATAGTTTTTTTCTTCTTCTTCCCATCACTAATATAATTTCAGTCTAGTTATGTCCCCACCTGCACTTACATTCTGAGCCAGTGTTAATAATACTTAAATGAGCATCAACATTGAGCATACATTAAGAACAGTCAATCACAGTCAATTAAACACTCCACTCTTCTCCACAGATGCTGACATTTTCACTGCATTACACCGTGATGAGCATGTAGAATGAAAAGCCAAAGTTGACCATTACAAACTTTTAATTTTTTTACTAAAAAGTTAATTCCTACCTTTATCATTCTAGAGAGATCTCCGGCATCAGCTAATTCCAACACTATATTCAGCTCATTGTCTTCAATGAATGAGGCATAATATTTAATTACATTTGGATGATTCAGTTGCTAAGAAAGCAGAACAATAATGTACATTTTAGTCTAGAGCACATCTTGTAAGACTGACAAACAAAACATCCTTTAGGCAAACAAAACAACCCATAAAATCTATTTCAGTATGGCACAAAAAGTCTATGCTTATGAGAAGCATTTACAGACAAACATTTTGCAAGGCCATGATGGCATTTTAAGATCAACATTATGACTGTCGTTGCAATTTTAGAGGAATTTTGCTTCAATGTATCTATGCAATAGCATGCTAAACTGCTATACAAAACAGCAAAGTCAATTTTTAATGTCAGTATTCTACTGTACACAGGACAGTTATTTACAATACTGTGGTTTTAGCAGAAGCTTCTACTTGAAATGTTACCCATTTTTCTATAGGATTTACTTCTCAATCTTCTCTTAAAAACTCTACACAGAAAACAGTGGACACCTCAAGTATATCTGTGAAAAACTTAATATACTTTGACAACAGCTGCACATTTTTAAACAATCTTTTACCTTAAGAAGATCTATTTCTTTGATGCAGTCAGCACGGGCTTTGGCATCCATTAAATCAAATATCTATGCACAAGAGATAAGACATTTTTATTAAGTGATAAAAATATAGCAAATTGAGTGATCATTATCATTACTCCATAGCATGCATAAAGTAACTTGAGTTATGTATTTCATAAAAGACACAACATTGCAGTGAGAAATATACCTAATGCTCTGATGTACTGATTCACTGCTATACCAATTCTTTTAGCCCCCTCGTAAGAAACAAGTCCATCTTAAGTACAAGCTTTCCAATGACTTAATTGTCACCTCCACATATCTGTTCAAACACACAGCAGTAATTCAGCACGTTTCCTTCAAGCTGGTTCCAATCCAAATGTCAGCTTCCTCTCCTATTCCTGCCATGCCATTATCACAAACTGATTCTTTCTAGTACTGAGCATACCTCTTTTCCTCGTCTCTTGCAACAGTCTTCCTTTTCTATTCTAAATAATGCATACACTTTCTCTCTCCGGATCAAAACTTCATTGTCACCTCCAATTCTTTCTCTCCCATTTCCTTCTCTTCAGCAAGCAACAAAGTGATTTGGATTCTGTAATTTGTTTACCTGAGCACTTTCTTCCTAAGCCCTCATCTGTCACCTGGACTTTTACAGCCTTTTACAGTTAAACATCTCTGCTCTTAATTTTTTTCCCACCTCCCATCTGCTCCAAATTACTTTGCAATGCATCTCATTTTTGCCTCCTCCAGTTAACCACATTACTCTCTACTAATTTCAATTTTTGTTTGGAGTAGTTTTTTTCTGCCATTAGAGTCCTTGTCCATATTCTACATTTCTGTATTTGATCTAATGTCTATTTTCACTCCTATTTTACCACTTTTGGGTTCCCTTTTCACTTCACTTTCTCAGATGTGCATCTCCATACAATGCCACCGACTATTTCCCTTGGAAATGATCAAAATGTTATTTCAAGGAAGCCTTCCTCTCTCATTTGCCACTACTTTCTGAATAAAATCTAAAACAAACAAACAAAAAAAACCCAAAACGAAAACAAACCACTCATCACCTTCTGTGTGGTCTGCCTGTTACATTTGGAGCTATCCAGAAGAACAATAGAGATGCACTATGAGTTTCAGTAATTGCCACAATATTTATTACCTTCTCCAGTTAGATCTTTTCAATGCACATCATTTCTGTCTAGATAGCCTCCAGGAAAAGATGGATTAGTGCTGTGAAGATCACCAGTACATCGTTCATCAGCTCAAAATGATCGAATGCTCAACAGTCGACAACTTCCATTTCATATCTTGCCACCAACCCCAGAAACAAAAATAAGGATTAACAGCACTGAACACTGAATGTCTGCAAAGAGGTCATCTCTTAAACTGACTGCATAACCGTCCATGTGAATCACACCTTCTTTCACTCTCCCCAAAGAAGTTCAAACAAATCAGGTAGTCCACATATAACCTGCTGAA